AATATTCACAAGGTTACATGGACTGCACCAGGTCATATAAGAGAAAATCAAATAGACCACATCGCCATATCAAAAAGATGGAGATCATCCCTCCTTGATGTACGTAACAAAAGAGGAGCAGACATCGCAAGTGACCATCATCTTGTAATCGGTACCATTAAAATCAAAATGGCAAAAAACAAAATCACACGAAACACCAAACGACCAACATACAATCTAGACAAATTAAAAACGGCTACAGGAAGACACATGTTTAGGGAGGAACTTCAACTCAAAAGAAGAGAACGTGAAGTAAATAGCTGGGAAGATCTGGCAAATGTTTTGACAGAAATAGCTGAAGATAAACTCGGTAAAAAAGAGAAACATAGAAAAGAATGGATATCAGATGAAACTTGGAATCTTATCGAAGAAAGAAAACAGCAAAAAAAGATAGTCTGCAAGCAAGAACTGTAGAAGAAAGAGCGAACCGACAACAAGAATATGAAACAATAAATAAAGCAGTTAAAAGAAATGCAAGAAGAGACAAAAGAAGATGGACTGAAGAACTGGCAAAACAAGCCGAAATAGCTGCACAACACAATAGAACTAGAGAGCTATACCAAATTACCAGACGTCTAACAAAAAGTGGGCCCAACTGTTCAAACGTCGTAAGATCCAAGACAGGAGAACTACTTACTACAACAAATGACCAAATAGAGAGATGGAAAGAGCATTTTCAGGAGATGCTAGGCACGCCCAGGGATAACGCAGATGAAATTGTCGAAAATCCACAGAATATAGACTTGCGTATATCTTGCGACGCCCCTTCCAAAACAGAGATAATAACAGCTATCAAATCTCTGAAAAATAACAAGTCTCCGGGAATCGATAACATTGCTGCCGAAATGCTTAAAACTGATCCGCATCTAACTGCTGAACTTTTGCTCCCCATAATCCGAGAGGTGTGGGAAACAAACCGCATTCCAGCGGGCTGGAAAAAAGGCATCATTACTAAGCTTCCAAAAAAGGGCAACCTCACACTATGCAAAAATTGGAGAGGAATAACCTTGCTTACCGCCATAAATAAAATCTTCACGACCATCATACTTAAAAAATTAACAAACAAGGTTGAATTTCGAGCTAATCAAGTAGGCTTTAGACCAGAATCCTCCTGCATAGACCACATTAATACTGTGAGGCTAATAATGGAACAATCGGTTGAATGGAACACACCCCTATACCTACATGGTTTTTGTTGATTTCGAGCGTGCTTTTGACAGCTTATCTCATGATGCAATATGGAAAATTTTAGAGCTAAGAAACATCCCGCATAAAATAATTTCCATTATAAAGTTACTGTACACTGAAGCGAAATGCAGCGTGACACACAATGGGATCAACAGTGACGAATTTGACGTACTTACTGGAGTCAGACAGGGATGCGTGCTTTCTCCGTTTCTTTTTAACATAGCTCTAGACTATGTTCTCTCCAAACTAGACTCTGACACAAGAGGGATACAATGGACGCTAACCACACGCCTAAGCGATCTAGAATACGCCGACGATATCTGCCTGTTAGGACAAAGGTTCCAAGATGTGGCTGACCAATTGGAAACACTTTCCACTGAAGCCAATAAAATAGGTTTGAAAATCAATATTGGTAAAACCAAATCCATGAGAATAAATGCAAGAAACAACACGCTATTCACCATTAATAACATGCAGATTGAAAATGTGGAAAACTTTACGTATCTTGGAAGTGTCATAACAGAAAGCGGAGGTACAGAAGACGATATTCGTATGAGGATACGAAAAGCGCAACAAGCTTTCAGCATGCTCAACCCTGTTTGGAGGTCTGGAGAATACACTACGAGGACAAAGATCCGCATATTCCAGTCAAATGTCATGTCTGTACTACTTTACGGATGTGAAACCTGGAAAGCGACAAAAACCCTTACAGACAAACTGCAGGTCTTTGTTAATAAATGTCTACGAAGAATTGTTCGTATTTTCTGGCCTAACATCATCAGAAACGAAGACTTACTACACCTGACCAAACAAAAGAGGGTAGTAAATGAAATAAAGTCCAGAAAGTGGGGTTGGATCGGTCACACACTCCGAAAAAATAACTCCAGTATTGCAAAGACTGCCCTAGAGTGGAATCCCAAGGAAAACGAAAAAAAAGTCGCCCAGTACAAACTTGGAGAAGATCCATCATGGACGAGATAAGAAAACAAGGAAAGTCTTGGAATGAGGTGAAGGCCTTAGCGCAAAATAGAACCCGATGGCGCGTTTTCACTGAAGCTCTATGCTCCACTTAGGAGTTCAAGAACCTTATAGTATATATATATATATATATATATATATATATATTTAATAAGCTTTCGATTACATTGCAAATTTCACTAGATCAGCGTGCGTCCTCGTTACAACGATATTTTCAATGTCATAAACAAACAATCTATTTTCGCAAATATGTGTTACGTTATTAAAAGAGATTACTTAGATCTGATGCTTAATTGAATCTCGTTACAAGGGCATTCGTATTACTTTTTAGATCCAGATTGAATAGTATACAGAAGAGAGGGTGTCCCTGGTAGCCCGTTATTTGTTTTAAAAGGTTCAGACAGTTCCTCCTAGATTCGTACTCTACATTAAACTATTTTAAGCGTTAGTTTTGTTAAACTTACCAACTGATTTGTTACTCCTAGCTCTTTCATTTCTTTGAATATTTCTCTTTTATTTACAGAGTCGTAGGATGTTTTGTAGTCTATAAATATGTGATGAGTATCTATGTCATATCAGGAGAAGTCCAGGTTACCTTGTGTATATTCTTCCCTGTATTCAAAATAGGTGTTAGCCACTGCCATGTTTAGTGCTGCTGCTAAGTTTATCAGTCGTAATCCATTATCCTTATTGATATTGTGTAGGCTATGCCTTCCTATAGTGGTCATGTAAACTCGTTCTCGTTCTATTCTTGCATTCATGTCACCTAACACAATAGTAATGGCATTTCTGGGACATCTTCTGTAGGTTTGCTCTAGGTCTTCGCAAAACTCTTGAGCAGTAGTGTTTTCAAAACACTTCAATCTTTTGCACTTACAATCACCTCCTAACTCAGTGAGACTGAAACCTCAACTTTTTCATTACATCTGCAGCTGGGCCAATTTTCTTTCGTTTCTTGGATTTTTTAAATATCATCACACAAATACTCTTCACTCGAACTAATCTCGACATAAACTGCCGCCGCGAAAAGAACCAAACATGGAAGATTGTCATGCCCGTTTAACTAGTTGGACTACGTCGGTTGTTTACCAGTCCGCACGGATAACGTTGGTTTTTATCCAATATAGGTATTTTCTAATTATTTGTTATTTGGACACAGTTGGTGTTATTCCCGTACAATTTAGCACGTGTTTGGGACCGGATATTGTCAACATAATAAGTTGATTACCATAAATTCTTATAAAATGGACATCGATTGTTTTTCCCTCTTACCCTTCATTTGAATTTGAGTTATATTTTTGAAATAATAACAGTATTTTCCTTGTTTGTACATGTTAACTATTATGAGAAATTAACTTTGTTTAAATGAGCCTTTTATTTAACTGCAGCCAAATATTTGAATTTCACATTCAACCTCCTCCTCCTTAGTCCTAATCCCTTTTGGGATGTGGTGACATCATCACGCCTTTACAGTTTTTTCACGATTTCCCTCCATCCTTCCCTGTCCTGGGCTAGCTGTTCGGCTTCATGTAACCCTTGGTTAATCAATATTTTTGTTTAATCTACCCAACGGCTTGGAAATCTTCCCCTACTTCTCTTTCCTTCAACTCTACCCTCGACTATCAGTTTTTCCATCGTACCTGTTCTTCTAGCAATTGTCCAAAATACTGCAAATATCTCTGTTACATTTATTTAAGCAATCTATCCTTTACTTTAAATTGTTCTAATATCGATACGTTAGTGCGGTGATAAATCCAGAATATTCTTAACATGCGGAGGTATACCCACATCTCAAAAGCATCTAGTTTTTTTTATCCGCTTTTTTTAAGGTCCACGTTTCGGATGCGAATGTGGATATGGGAAAAATAAGTGCCCTTAGTTTTGTGTGTATTGTTATGCTAGACCATATGTTATGTTACCAGTTTCACCATAGCTGTTCTAGCAATAGTCAACCTTTTACGTATCTCTCTGTCACATCTTCCGTCATTTGTTATTAGGGACCCCAGGTAATTTCTTTAATGTGTTGAAGATAATTCCGAGCTCTGTCTACAATCATGATCTTTAGTCCATATGTTTTGCTTTTCTCCTCCAGACATCTCATTATGTGATTTGCATTCTGGGGATCATCTGCATACAGACTGTGACAATATTTTCTTTCAACAACCAACATTCAACCAGTCATTGAAATCAATTAACTCGTCTTGACAAGAAGAGTGTAAACTGTTTGTTCGGGCTGTTAGGCCATTGTCTTCTGAGATTAGTTCTCGACGTTTCGCCAATACTAGGGGTTGGCATCTTCTGGATATGTTACTGCTTCGCTTGTAAGCTGAAACTAACAAGCTTACAAGCGAAGCAGTAACATCTCCAGAAGATGCCAACCCCTAGTGTTGACGAAACGTCGAGAACGAATCTCAGAAGACAACCGCCTAAGATCCCGAACAAACAGTTTAACAAGTTAGTGTTAACATTTTATAAGAAGAGTAGTGTCACCCGCAAAAAGCAAATTGTTTATTTTTCGGCCATTTATTCAGATGCCCTTTTCCCATTCTTCAAGCGATCTTCTCACAGTATGCTCGTTGTATATATTAAATAATTGTGGAGACAGTATACATCCTTGTCTAACACCTTGTTCTGGATGAAATTCTTTGGAAAGTGTATCCAGCACTTTTACTGATTTATTAAATAATCTTGGGAATAATTCCACAATGTGTATTTAGAAAAGGAGTCATTGTGATAACGCGTTAAAACTGCCAGAATATTGGCAATCAACACAATAATAAAGTATAATACAAATAAAAAATATAAAAAATTTATTATACTACATGTTTGATTAAAGATCTTTCAAATCCGCACGAAAACAAAACGTCCCCGTTCCAGGAAAGTCCTTTAACATGCCCTTTGTGATCTTCATTTTTATAAATTACATTCATATTGTTTGATTGAGTATTGACTACAAGCACATCTTTTGAATCGCCACAAATTGCAAGATTTGAATTGGTATTAAAACGAAGTCTATTTACTGGAGAAGGAAAACAAGAAATAACTGAAACGAAGTCTTTTGGTTCTCTTTTATCCAATAGATATACGTCCCCGGCTTGTGTTCCCACTGCTATATAATTAGTATCGGATTGGTTCCAGGCTACACTATTAATGGCTGAGAATTCGTTGGAATAAAGCACTAAAACAAAAAATACATTCGATAGTAATAGAAAAATACAGTAATTTGTGTTTTTATTAAATTCTCCACCAATGTACAGGGTTTCTCATTATATTTTGCCCCCCCCCCACTTATTTTCTTTAATTTCGGGAATACAAAAAAAGTTGTATTATTTTATCTGTACCGACTAACAGTGTAGCAACAGACCAAATTTTGTATACAGGGAGTGCCCGATAAAATGCATCTTCAATATTTCAAATGGGACGCCCTGTATTTTTTTAGAGTTTTGAGTAGCCCTGCATTTCCTGATTACAAATATATAACATAGCGTAACATTAGTTTTGCTCTATAATGGCGTATGGTACTACTATGCTATACTAAGATAAGAAAAAAATATATTTAGAAAGTCAACAAAATTAATGACTTACAATACTACATTTAAGATTATAATGGATGCTCAAAGGGCCCTCCATTGTTATCAATGCACAAGTAATATCTTCGTCTCAAATTTTCTAATGCGTCAGATATTGCGTTATTATGACCATTTAAATTTTCAATTTCCGCGCGAAATTTTGTCGTGATAGTGTTAATATTTGTATTTGAATCAACCACACCACACCAATATTTGCATTTGGATCAACACACACCACTGATCAAAGGCCTTGAAGAAATCAGTGTATAGTGCATGTACCCTACAGCCCCTCTTCATGGCCTTGCTCAGGAAATCCACAAATACTAGTATATTACATTCAATTGATCTGCTTTTCTGAAATCCAAATTGTGGGTTTGCTGTTTTTCAAGTGAAGCTTTAAGATAGTCACATACAAAACATTCAAATATCTTTGGTATTACACTAATTATACTAATGGGCCTGTAATTATTCACCAATGAATTATCTCCTGCTTTAAAATTACGTGGTAAAAAACTATTTTTCCAGTATTCTGGAAATTCAACCTTATTTAAGTATATATTCAAATGCGATAAAGAGGTCTGGATAATATAAAACAACAATTCTTGAGAAAGCTGGGAGGCAATCCCATAGGAAGGCAAAAAGACCATAAAACAAAGAGATTCGTTATTTTATTATTACCATAAACTTAATATTAAAAATATTAAAATAATAAATAGTAAAATACAAACATATGGTGTTGAATAAGCAAGAAAAGTATAAACGTGGATATTGAAAATAAGGTGACAAGTTTTTACAGAAAAGTCAACAGGGGGTTGATAGATAATGACCCAAAGTTGGCCTAGGACGACCATATTTTGTATGACTGTATTAGAACTAGAATCAAAACCAGAACATTGTGTTACAACCTGAATCAAGTGACATTGTCAATTTTTAATGACTATTCTAATTCAAACAGCAACATTGTTTTTAAGTTGGATTACTAACATGAATAAAAAAATGCTCATAACGTAGTTTCAGGAAATTTCCACATAATGCTTGCTGAATGGATAACGCAGTGGTAACAGAGAAAATGCGGAAAAGTTTCATCTTTACGACATAACGCCACCAGACCCTTATAACAACCCACCATAGCTGGAGCGCCATCGGTTGTCAAGCCTACCATTTTCGATATTGGAATTTTCTCGGAAGAAATAATATTTTTTAAATGAGAAAACAACTCCTGTCCAGTAGTGTGTCCTTTCAGTGGAATGAACTTCAAAAGATCTTCTTTAATCGTAACATCACTAAAAACCATCCTGACGAACATGGCCATCTGGGCAGTGTCAACGACATCTGTTGATTCATCCAGTTGAAGTGAAAAATAAACACAGTTATTTAAGTCGGTTCTTAACTGTAAAAAAATATCATTGCTAATTACTTCTACACGTCTCATCATTGTATTAGTAGAAAGTTGCATAGATTTTATAGCAGAAACTATCTCGTCTTTATTTCTAAAGTTGGTGTTGCGTAACAACAATACTTAATATTTTTAGTCTAGTTTTGTATCATATTATTTAGTTTATTTTTGTATCATACTGTATATTAGTTTAGATATATAAAATTTCTTTGTAATAATTAATAATCTGTAAAGCGCCGTTATCTTGCATTTAAATAACTTTCTACACAAGTTTCTAAAACCTTCATAGAATCGTAACAATAAAAGGATTAGTATTTTCCAAATTACCCTCTGACGCATTCCAAAATTCCGCAAGTAGAGACAAATACCCTTATCAGGTAGTTTATCAATGATTTGAAAGTTAAAGGTATTTGAAAAATAAACATATCTTTTAATACATCGAGGGGTCAGGGGGGAGATTTCGGAATGTTTGTGATTGAGGGAAGAGAGTGGACATCAGTTCGCAGTTCAAGTCATCAAAGGAGTGTCAGTTCAACTTCCAGCACTGAAGGAGCGTCAGGCTCTACTCGCCCCAGCGGCATATTAGTGTTTTAAACCAGTCGGTATTTTAATAAGTTCGTGTCAATAGTGTATCACCGACAAGTGTGTATCATATGCAAGATATCGGCGTTTAAAATACATTGTATTTGTTTAAATATATTTGTTCGAACGTTCTTTTCGAATCTTCATTTTTCCCAGTTTTCTGGGTGGTCCTTCAAAGAAATATATATAAAGTGAACCTATTTCCCTAAGGAAAAACCTTGTTCCCCAAGGGAAAAAACCAGCGACCTATTACTGGTGCGCGAAACAAAGCCATCAGGACAAAGGTGTAAGGACAAACACCTACATCTTCGTTCATGTTCCTTCGAACCGGATTTCTTCACATTTCAACTTCGAATCAGAGATCTTCGCACGTCTCATCTTCAAGTTAGACATCAACGCAGCATCTTCAGGGTCTTCCAGTAGGACGCCTCCAGACTACTTCATCCTGGTAGCTGATTTAACGCCTAGCATCACACTCAAAAAACGTTAAGTTTTTTAATTTTAGTAACATTTGTGAAGTGCATACTACTCGTATAAACTCTTTTTGAACATTTATTGAACATTTTCGTTATTTCGCTTTTCTTTTTATAATTATTAGATCTTTTTACTTATATTCCAAGTAATATATAAAGATATACATATATCTTTTTACTTATATTTTCGATTTTTAGTGTAAACTCTCATATTTTCGCTATCTCTCTGTGTTTATTATTATTCTTCTGTTTTTCAATTTAAAGATCAAATTCTTTCACATATTTCTCGCTCATTAAATATTTATCTAATTCAATTAGCTAATCATGAATAAAACGGTTGATGATATTGTTAAAGTAAAAGATGACCTTGTTAAAGCAAGAGGTCGAAGTAAAGCTTCGATAACTAGATTGGAGAATTGGTTTAAAGAAAATGAAAAAAGTAATATTTCAAAAAATGAATTAATTTTTAGAAAAGACTATTTATCAAAAGTTTTTGACAAATATCTCGAGGTTCAAAATGAATTAGAGACAATAGATGATGAATTTTCTGTTGACATGGTAGACGTAGAAGACAGATTTTTAACGTTAGGATCAGCTCTAAAGAATAAAATTGATACAATTTCAGTAAATTCTGTTGTGAGCACCTCAGCTCAACAAAATCATTCAAATAACCATCATATCCGCCTACCGGAAATAAAAATTCCACATTTCGATGGAAATATAGCAAATTGGCCTAGTTTTACCGAGATGTTTAACAAACTTATCGTAGATGATTTAAATCTTTCAGATATTGAAAAACTAATTTATTTAAAATCAATTCTCAAGAACGAGCCTCTACAACTAATTGAAAATTTGGAAGTTGTAGGCCCAAATTTTTCCGTTGCGCTCGATACACTTAAGAATAGATTTGAAAACAAATGTTTAATAATTAACACTTATTTAAAACAACTTTTGAACGTTCCTTCATTAACAAAAAATACTGCTCAAAACTTGCGAGAATTCTTAACTCACATAAAAAAGAATTTAAGTGCGCTAAATAATTTAAATATCTCCGACAATCTTGCAGATTTAATTTAATTCATATATTCACACAAAAATTAGATTTTAATATGAAACGATCCTTTGAATCCGAAAGAGATTTCAACGAACTTCCTACAATAGATGAGTTTTTGAATTTTATTGAAAAGAAATGTAAAATATTGGAAAATTTGATCTTTGAATAGAAAACAGTTTATAAATCAAAACCGTCTCTTCATATTTCTATAAATAATAGAGATACATCTTTTAAATGTTTCGTATGCAATTCTAACTCACATAAAGTATACTCTTGCCAACAATTTTTAAATTTGTCCGCTCAAGAGCGTATGCAAAAAGTAAAAAACAAAGGTTTTTGTCTCAATTGCCTTGCTAGTGGTCATATGTCTAACTCTTGTTCCTCATCTTCGAATTGCAAAACCTGCAATAAAAGACATCACTCTTTGCTTCACATTTCGCACCCGACGGAAAATATTTCACGACAAAGTTCGTATAGATCGAATTCTGAAAGTCAACCCGCCCAAAATCAATTTGTTCGGAATTCACGTCATCAACGTCCAAATCAGCATTCGTCTCAATTCACTTCGGAGAATATTCATGCAAATTCGCAGCACAACTCTGTTCCAAATGCAATTCCGCAAGGTTTACCAGATACGCAAAATCTTCCAGGGCCGAGCAATATTTCGTCCCACTCTGTATATTCGAACAATCTGCAAGTTTTACTCGCAACTGCTTTGGTAACTGTTTACGATATTGAAAACAATCCCATCTCTGTTCGTTGTTTAACAGACTCCGGTAGCCAAGTTTCGTTCATAACAGACAGGTTAGCCAAAAGAATTTGTTATTCACCCTATACCAGAAATCTTCAAATATCAGGTATAGCTCAAACTTCTTCTGTTTCAAACAAGATGGTAGACCTTAAAATCTATTCAAACACATATCCTGGTAAAAACTTTAATCTGTCCTGTGCTGTCCTCGAAACCATTACGTGCCAGCATCCACAAGTCGCGCTGGATTTAAATTTATTAAAAATACCAAAAAATATAAAACTTGCAGACCCACATTTCTGTACCCCGTCGAACGTAGACATGCTTTTAGGAGCTGATATTTATTTTGACCTAGTTACTTACGGCTTAATAAAATTAGGTCCCAACCTTCCTATTCTTCAAAACACTCATTTGGGTTATATTGTAGGTGGAAATAGCCCATACTCTCGTTATGCAATGTTAGGATCAAACGCGACTCCTTCAAAGAACAATGCTCACTCACATTATTCAAATATTTCGTTACACGTACAAACTGCTGATCTTGATTCTCCTTTAAAGAAATTTTCTGAAATAGAACAGACTAAACCACTCACTTCTATTCATGAAAAAACATTAACTCCCTCAGAACAGCAAGCTGAGGACATATTCAAATCTTCGCTAACAATTCTTCCTAGTGGCAGATTTCAAGTAGACCTACCTCTGAAGACTCCTAATGAATATCAGAAATTAGGTGAATCATTTCATTTCGCTAAAAGACGTTTTTTCAATCTTGAAAAAAGGCTTAACAAATCAGACGAATTACTGAATCTGCACAAAGAATTCATATCAGAATATGTTTCTTTAGGGCATTGTAAACACGTTTCTCTTACTAAGATTAATGAATCGTCCGAACATAAGTTTTTTCTCCCACATCATTGTGATTTCAAGCATGATAGCTTGACTACTCGACTCAGGGTTGCATTTAATGGATCAATTAAATCAATCTCAAATGTGTCTCTCAACGACATTACGCTCAAAGGTTATACTGTACAACCTGATTTGTTCGAAATTTTAATTCGCTTTAGACTCTACAAATATGTCTCTTTAGGTTATACCTTGTACAAGACTTATAAGCAACTTTTTATGAGTCTAAATTCCGCTGGAATAGCACTACATAAATGGAATTCTAATTCTTCTGAGTTTCTCGACTCTACTTCCTCTGAATCTCAAAAATTTAATTATGTAATAAAACTCTATAATTCTTCAAATAAAGTTTTTGGAATATGTTGGAATTCTCAGTCTAACATGTTCTGTATCTCTCATCCTGACATTTCTAGTGAATCAATATACACAAAAGAAGAAGTTCTATCAATTATCTCTTCTATTTTTGATCCTTTTGGTCTAATAAATAAGGTTATCTTAAAATTGAATCCATTTATAGACGCATCTGATTTAATAAGAGTTGGTGGACGACTTCGCAATGCAAATGTTTCGTATAATCAAAAATTTCCACTTCTTCTTCCTACAAAATGCCAGGTAGTTAGATCGTTACTTGAAAGAGAACACATTCGCCTATTGCACACAGGCCCTCAAAATACATTGTCAAATATTAGACTCACTTATTGGCCTCTTGATGGACTGAGAGAAATCAAGAGGATCATCTACAAATGTAAGAACTGTTACAGATTTAACGCAAGACCAGCTCATCAAATAATGGCCGATCTACCCAAAGAACGGTTTCAGGTCTCTCGACCATTCACAAATGTCGGCATCGACTACGGGGGCCCATTTCAAATAAAATCTTCAAAACTGCGACGTGCTCCCATTTGTAAGGCTTATATAGCAGTATTCGTATGCCTCGTCACTAAGGCAGTCCATATAGAGCTAGTGTCCAGTCTTAGCACCGAAGCATTCCTACTAACGTTTAAAAGATTCATTTCACGCAGAGGTATTCCTAAAACCATTTATTCGGACAATGCGTCCAACTTTCTTGGAGCTCGTAATCAGTTAAAAGAGCTTTATGACTTTTTTATGGGAACGGATGTTCTACCTACCATAAAAGAATTCGCAGCCTCAACATTAATTGAGTGGAAGTTCATTGCACCTCGATCTCCACATCAGGGTGGAATTTGGGAAGCAGCTATAAAAAGCTGCAAGTATCATTTAGTAAGGATGATGGGCAATAATATTTTTACATTTGAGGAATTAACCACTATTTTGGCTCAAATAGAAGCTGTTTTAAATTCTCGACCCCTCTGTCCATTGTCAGACAGTCCAAATGATTTTTCTTTTCTAACCCCGCTCATTTTCTCATTGGAAGCAGCATGACTTCCTATCCAGAAAAAGATATCTCGACAAAATCCGAAAATAGTTTATCACTGTGGCAGAAATGCAGCAAAATTCAGCAGCATTTCTGGAAATGTTGGTCTAGGGATTATTTAAATCGCCTCCAAAATAAGCCCAAATGGTTTCTGCCCCAAGAAAACATTAAAGTCGATGATCTTGTACTCCTAATCGATGATAACGCTCCTCCTCTAAAATGGCCACTGGCAAGAGTAATCGAAACACTGCCAGGTAAAGACGGCAGGGTTAGAACTGTAAAACTAAGAACTAAAGACGGAACATTTATAAGATCTGTTGTTAAAGTATGTCCTTTACCCCATACTCATTTAGATGTAGGTCACATCAACGGGGGGACTATGTTGCGTAACAACAATACTTAATATTTTTAGTCTAGTTTTGTATCATATTATTTAGTTTATTTTTGTATCATACTGTATATTAGTTTAGATATATAAAATTTCTTTGTAATAATTAATAATCTGAAAAGCGCCGTTATCTTGCATTTAAATAACTTTCTACACAAGTTTCTAAAACCTTCATAGAATCGTAACAATAAAAGGATTAGTATTTTCCAAATTACCCTCTGACGCATTCCAAAATTCCGCAAGTAGAGACAAATACCCTTATCAGGTAGTTTATCAATGATTTGAAAGTTAAAGGTATTTGAAAAATAAACATATCTTTTAATACATCGAGGGGTCAGGGGGGAGATTTCGGAATGTTTGTGATTGAGGGAAGAGAGTGGACATCAGTTCGCAGTTCAAGTCCATCAAAGGAGTGTCAGTTCAACTTCCAGCACTGAAGGAGCGTCAGGCTCTACTCGCCCCAGCGGCATATTAGTGTTTTAAACCAGTCGGTATTTTAATAAGTTCGTGTCAATAGTGTATCACCGACAAGTGTGTATCATATGCAAGATATCGGCGTTTAAAATACATTGTATTTGTTTAAATATATTTGTTCGAACGTTCTTTTCGAATCTTCATTTTTCCCAGTTTTCTGGGTGGTCCTTCAAAGAAATATATATAAAGTGAACCTATTTCCCTAAGGAAAAACCTTGTTCCCCAAGGGAAAAAACCAGCGACCTATTACTGGTGCGCGAAACAAAGCCATCAGGACAAAGGTGTAAGGACAAACACCTACATCTTCGTTCAGTTGGCAAATAACGAATCAGCAGCTTCTAAAAACGCCTGTTTTATCATTTTTCGTCTTCATAAGGTTTCTTTTTTTGTGCAATTATCTGGGACACACGGTACGATGCTTCAGTTGCAGCATTATTTTTGTCGATTGTTCTTAAAAATATTGACTGTTGTCCAATTAACTGTTTCAGTTTCTCTTTTCTGGCGGCGGAATGTAGTGGGAATGATTTTTCAAAATTAGAATGTACAGTTTTATGATGTCTCTCAATATTTCCTTTTTTAGCAACGAGACCGAAGTATTACATAACGAACACACATTTTTATCTTTAACTTCTGTAAAAAAGTATGAAGATTAGATTTTTTTGTGGAATTTTCGGAAGCTTCTCTGATTTTTGCAGTTTGTATTTTTTAAATTAAAATCGTTGTGGGAGCTACCAGAATTGTCTCCGCGAGCTACCGGTAGCTTGCGATCGACAGACAATTTGACTGGAAAAATCACGTCATAATATGCATTGATATTTACAAGGTGAACCCAACTGATCTTCCGTTTTACCTAATGGAAAATTAACCTTTTTTGAGCTTGCAATCCAATTTTTAACAGTTACATATGAAGAACATTAATAACCAAGAGTGTTAAGTATATCTTAAATATGCTTATCTCTTAACCTCTTTAAATACAAGTACTTTTTGGATTGATACTCAAATTTTTCAATTTTTTGCTCAGCTTTGGTTTGACTGGTTGATATGAACATTTACAATGTGACTTTCTTTATTGCTATATAAAGGCGATTTTCTCTATACACAGAACCGATCTAAGCTAAATAGATATCAAAATATCCTCGCATCTAATAACTGACACTATCTACTTTCATTTTTGTTTAAGTAGATTGTAAATACACTCAATGAAATAAAATATTAAAATCGATATACTTACAGGAAGCTGCCACAGAGTTTCTCATATCCCATATACAAGCCATTCTGTCCCTACCTCCTGATAAAAACACATTTGTATTGTCTTTTAAGGTATCAACACTTGAAACTGTATCACAGTGGTAAGAACTATAAAATAAAATATAATTATAAAAAATTCTGTGAATTTCGCTAGATGAAGGCAGGCAATAGCCTTTTTAGTAAACTAAACTTCTTATGAGAATGGTTTTGTATCTGAGGTGGTAAAAAATGTTTTATTCCCTAACATTGTTTAATGTTATTATCCCCAATATTTAATTAGGGCTACTTTACAATAATCAGTACATGAATCCTTGAAAATAATAAGTGACTCAATTCACAATAAACTTGGTGAAAGCTATTATGTTCTCGAAAGGAACATTTTATTACACTATTTTATCAGCATTTAAACTTTGTTAATAGTCATCAGGTCAGTCAGATAGCCAAGCAGGTCAGGCGACCAATTCTCATTTGCTTCACTGTCAAATGGTCAAGTGGATATAGGTTCCAGCCCTGGCTTGGTGTACAGAAAAAAAAAGGTTAACACAGCAGTTTAAAATTCTAAAACGAATCTGCAGCTTAGATTAGAATATGCTGGTGTCTGACCTGCCTATGGTGAAGCAGTACAGCAAGAGATAAGGGCTTGTGGCTCGGTGATACTCCTCCATAGATTCCTACTGGAAGGGTGTGGCGCCTATACTGGTGTATATATATTTTATTACTTTTTATGCATGTCATTAAAAAAATAAATATCCTTATTGCCTATTCTTATTCAGATATAGCTCATTTTGATCAGTTTTAAATATTTCCTCAATGCAATTGATATGGAATTGATTGACACATCAATGAAATGGAATGAAAGGTGTATGAAAAATCCTATATATACAAATATGCATTATGTAAAGCATTACAAGCAGTATGTTATAAGAACTATTTAGAGAATATTCAAACAAATCTTTAAAGTAATCCCCACTCTTTTTGGAGGTATGTTAGTACTACACGTGGGTCTAGTGCTTATCCTAATGTAATGTCTAATAAAGGTGGGGATATAATAGCTCAGAATGGTGATGAAATAGTCAATTTATTTGCCAGCTATTTTTCAGGTACATATTATAATGATAGTGAGTGTAATGTACCTAATTTTAAATTGGACTATAATGTGGATTTCTTCTACATAGTCTGGAAAGACTACATATTCTTCAGGGTCTGATGGTATACCTGCAGCACTTATTAAGAACTGTATTTTTTCCCTTTGTAAACCTTTACAACAAATTTTCAATTTATTGTTGTCATCTGTATTTCCACAATATTGGAAAAATAGTTTTCTTACACCTATCTATAAATCTGGCAATCGCGAGTGTGTTAACAATTATAGAGGTATAACTATTCAATCAGCAATCCCGAAACTTCTTGATAAATTGGTATCAATAAATCTCACCTGGACTTGCAGAAACATAATTATTGATGAACAATATGGTTTTTCTAATGGGAAATCAACTGTAACAAACTTTCTCAATTACCAACAATACTTGTTGGGTGCATTTGAGAATAAAATTCAGGTTGACAGCGTTTACACTGATTTCTCAAAAGCCTTTGACCAGGTTAATCATAATCTTTTGGTCCACAAACTTCATGCATCTGGCTTTGGTGACCCCATTGGTAATTGGATTAAAAATTTTCTGATGGGATTCATTGTGGTCCCTTGTTTTTTTAACTTGTTCATTAACGAAACTGGTAAGGCTATCAAAAACTCACACTTCCTGCTATTTGCTGATGATCTTAAGATATTTCGTTGTATACATAATAAATCGGATAGAGATCTCCTGCAAGATGATGTAAACAACATATGTTTATGGTCAAAACAAAATGGTTTAAGGTTAAATCCAACTAAATGTTCTTGTATTTCATTTGGTTGTATAAATAATCTCATGGCTAATAGATATATTCTTAATGATGTACTCTTGGATTCAGTTACTGAGATTAGAGATTTGGGTGTATTATTGGATTGTGCATTGCCATTTAGACGACGTTTTCTTAAAATTAAGGAAACAGGATTTCGTAATCTTGGTTTTATTTATCGCAACAGTCATGATCTCTCACCTATTGTATTTAAATTATTGTATTGCTCTCTGGTATGCTCAGTTCTTGAATACTGCTCTGTTGTCTGGTCCCTGTTTCATCAAGTATACATTGATGGATTAGAGAGCATACAGAGGAAGTTTCTAAGATCTTTAGCTTTTAAAGCCCATATTAATATAAAAAATACTGAAAATTATTTCATAGATTATTCTATAATAATATCTCATTTTAACATTGATACATTGAAGAACCGCAGGTTGAGAGCTGATATGTTATTTTTGTTTAAAATTCTGAACAATGTTATTAATTGTCCCTCGTTATTGGCCAATGTACACTTAAACACAATGCATAGAACTCGACACACTGCACTCTTTCATATTCCTTTTCATAGGACTGATTATGCTCGTCATTTTCCCCTGTCAAGAATGCTCAGCTCTTGCAATGACCTCCTATTGATCTAGATTATTAATCTAGATATGTGATACTTACTATGTGATACTGATACTTTTTAAAAATTTTTGTGATATGATATATTGTTTTAATGTACAAATTTTAACTGTTTACTTGTTTCTTTGTTATTGTTTTGATGTTTATTGTACATGATCTTTACTTTTTACTATTTTGTGTATTTTATTGTAAATGGTTCTACCGTTGGAATGAATAAATAAATAAATAAATAAATATACAATGTATGTAATAAATATTCTACTTACTCATATCTTTCTATAGGCTTTCCGTTAGTTGAATTAGCATCATAAATATACACTGTTCTTCCAGCACAACTTAACACTCTACTAGAATTTTCCCATACAGCTATCTCTGGTACCCTTTCACATAACCAAAAATAGTTTGTAGTTCTAAGTGTAGCATCTTCATCAATAGAAAGTATATTTATGTGTCCTGAATCCTCAGCTAAAGCTATCTAAAATGATTTTTAATTTATCATAACTTATTAGTATGGTCAACAGTTCAAAGGTGTACCCGTACAAGCTACTGCTACCTGGTACACAGATGGCTCAAAAACATCAGAGTGTGTGGGAGCCGGCATAGTAGGGACAAATCAACGGATACATTTCCAGGTAAGTCTATCTAAGGATGTCACAGCTTTCCATGCAGAAATAACTACAATCCATCACTGAGTGGAAGAAATATAAAGGCAGGAAATAATGGTATGTTCAGTTGCCATCTTCACAGAGTCAGGCAGCACTTAAGGCACTCAATTCTGTAGAGGTCAATTCTAAGCTAGTATGGGATATCAAGTGTGCCCTAAATAAACTAGGAGACCATAGCAAGGTTACAGTAGCATGGGTACCACGGCATGAGGGTCATAAGGACAATGAAAAAGCAGATGAAATAGCCAAACAAGGCTCATCAATACCATTTATTGGACCAGAACCCTTCTGCGGTGTTGCAAAGTCAGTAACAAGAACGGCAACAAGGAAGTGGGTATCTCACAAATCTCTGGAATGGTGGAGAATTCACCTGGACAAAGACAGGCAAAACAGTTCATTACGGAACATTTGCCAAAATTTACAACAGACCTAATAAGCAAAGACAGGAAAACAGTCAAAGCCATAGTAGGTCTTCTAACAGGGCACTGTAAACTGAATAGGCACTTGAAGCTGATGGGATTATCAGATGATGACCTGTGCAGATTCTATCACGTCGAAGAAGAAACAGCAGAGCACATTTTATGTCAGTGCGACAGTATGCGGTTCTTTGCATTAGGAGAAGAAAATTCACCAGTAAATAGCTACATGGAAGGTACAATCTCAAAGCTACTAGACTTTATAAAAACGGTCAGGCTAGAGAATGTTATCTAGGACTAGAGGACCACAACAGATCTGAAAAGGTCGCAGTGGAATAGGCTAAAAGGCCACCTTTTTTAATCTAATCTAATGGTCAACAGTTGGCGGAAGAGCCAAACAGGGATGGCTAATGTCATAAGTTGTGATATGAAAATTAGTCTAAAGTAGGAAAATTTGATTAAAAACTCCACAGCCCTACATGTTGGGATTTTGAGACTAGACAGACTAGGAACAAAGAAAGAAAATACAAAAAACAAATTGAGTGACGAAAACTAACATTGGAAAATACATGTTCAACTATAGTTAAATACCCAAAGAAGAAAGGGCACAGAAAAGATAGTAATGGTAATGACAAAGAGATATAAAAAGAATACCACAAATATCGATGTCATAAATAAATAAGAGGAAGAATTAAGATACACAACAACATGGAGGAGACTATCATTTTTAATAATATATGCTCCTACAAATGATCAAACCACTTAGGTAAAGAAAGTCCTCTTTGTAGAAATTAGAAGGGTGACTAAAAAAATAGGAAAAAAAAATTGTTAAGTATATCAGATTTTTCAAGTTCCTTATCTTGATATAAATTTTAGTTATAATATTCCCTATTCCTCTATTTGATTCGGTCAATAACTTCTTGCCATATTTTCATTTCATCTTCTACATAAATAATTCCAACTTGTACTTACATTATCATTAATGTGCTCTGTTGGTTGTTGCATGTTTTCATTTCTAATACTTAAGCTTTCATTTTGTTTTTCATCTTTCTTGGATTATAGCTCTAATCCAATGTTTCATGCAGTTATAAGTGAAATACACAATACAAAAGAATAAGTGTTGAACCCTCTGAACTTAAGTGACTAGTATTTTTAAAAATATCTTACTGTTTTATCATCTATAAATTTTCCATCTGATGTGGTACCATATACATAAGATCCATGATAATCAAAATTTTCTAATTGATCTTCATCTTTAAAATAAAGTAGAGTACCTTCCCAGAAACTGTCGGTTATTGCTGATGCACCAAGTATGGAATGTCCTAAAAACTAATTTTTTTAAAAGAAATTTTGATAAAAAAAACCCTTAATTTACCTGCTTTGTTAAAATTCACAAAAAATAAATGATCATAAATTACTGGTGTTTTTGAAAAATGATTTCGGGGTTCCAGAGGTGCATTAGGTAATGTAGTTTTTTTTCTAATAAAGGCATTAGGTTCTTGAACTTGATCTAACATTTTCTTTAAAGTTTACCTTAACCAACACTTGTCTAAAATACCGATGCTGTAGGTAGACTGCAGTGGCAGACTGTTTGTCTGTTTTGAATTTATTGGTTATGTTTCAGGTTCTTCTGATTTCTCTGATTTCTTCTACTCCACCTTCTCCGTTAAGTTTTTAAACAGCTATGGTAGACTTTGGCAGGCAACAATATTGTTGGTTTCCCTCTGGTTTCCATGCATCGAGTTAGAATCTACATACATGGTACACTGAATTCATTTCATTGTACCGTGCAGTGTGGCCAGATTTATTTTCCTCGTGTCGCCAATCCAATCTCGAAATGTCGCCAATTTTTGACAGAAGTCGCCACTGAACCAGAGATATGTAAGAGAGCTGAACCACAGAATAATAAACATACAGAATACCCACTCTCCACGGAAAATTAAGTACGCGCATCTCCTCCGCGCAGACGTTCCGCCATGTTTTAGGAGGATTTTAAAGAAATTAGTGTTGTTTATGTGGTGTGCATGGAAAAATTAACCAGGTTTATTTGACTTACGGCAATCAAAGACATACAATACAATTATATTAACATTGTTAAATATAATAACATAAATATAATATAATTAAACATAAATATAAACAATTACATAACCACACAAATCATATGTCTGTGTCCTCCTAAAACATGGCGCGCGTGCTGAAAAACTTCAAAGGCGGCATCTGAGAGTGGCCCTTCTGTTTGTTTATTATTCTGTGGCTGAACCATCGAGCAATAAGACAAAAGAGGGAATCTAATCGTTATAAAAAGGAGACCAAAAAAGTGGCCTCTGATGGCGGACACATCCGGAAATGCAAAGGCGCCAAATTTAAATTTTTCGACACTTATCAACAGTAGCTATATAATATTTTTCAAAATGTGTCTTAGACGAGAAAGTTTTAATTAATTATTAATGATAAGAGTCTAAAATGCGACACAATTGTTAAAAACCTTCAATATAAATAAGATTTTATGTGACATTTGGGACAAACAATAACATAACCCAACTAAATTTGATGTCAAACAAGGAGAGAGACTCTCTATCTTTGTCTAAAGTGGCCTCTCAAGATGACACTTCCTGTCTATCAATATGTTTACCCCTTCTACCTTTACATTCCCTCTTTTGTCTTATTGCTCGATGGGCTGAACCGTGGTTGGTTTCTATGTCATAGGCGGAGGTTTCGAATATTTTCAAGATGTTAAATTAAAATACTTTTTTTACTGGTTATCTTCGGGAATCTATTATGTGTCTTTATAGATTAGCGAGTCTGTATTACTTAGCAATTTTTACTAATTACAATTACTAATTAATTAGTAAAATTTCCGAGTAAGGATATTTAAATCATCAATTTGTAGAATGAATTAGCAATAAATCGACCGTAGTGTTTCAAGAACACAATATGATTGAACTCCGGTAATATATATTCTTTATCTATGGATTGAACATTGAAATGTCAGTTGGTAGTTCAGATTTATTTTCTACGTGGCGCTACGAATTATCGTCCCGGACAAACTGCGTGACGTGTCATCCTAGCCTTTTATATATTAAAGTGAAGCCAATATTTGATCTTCATTGCTGTTCTTTGGTCTAAAGTTATTTTCCTATAGTTTTATATTTATGTAGGTGATACAATCTATAAACACAGCCTATAAACCTTGAAAGCTAGACATTATTTTAGGTAGAAATTCGCTCCGAGGGTCTCCCCTCTATTTACAGTCACGTGACACGCTGTCAGATTTGTGAGGACGTTTTAGTATTGAGCACAGTTTAACCACAAACAGTTAGGACACTCTTAGTCGGCGCCTTTGAAGTATAAAAGTATCCAGACGCCATATTGAAAACAGACTAGATCAGTTACGGACTGGCACAAGTGGTTAGAACAAAGACGTGTTTATATTATTTCAAAGTTAGTAAACAAGTTAATTTGAATTAATTACAATCGACAATATATTAATTTAATTTAATTATTATTATCAAAATGTTTTATTTATTTTATATAAAAATAAATCTTTTCTACCATAGCCAAATACGAAACTGAAAAACTTATATTCCAAAACAACAAATTATTTCGGGAGGCAATTTTGTGTGTAAACTAATTTAAATAGACTTACTGTTAACTTTACAACAATAATTTAACAAAAGTAAACTTACAAAAAACTTTAACAAGTAAAAATGATATCGGAAAAAATAAGAGGGAGTGAATACGTCTTCATTCACTCCCTTTTATTTTTTCCGATATCTTAAATTCTAAAACAATCTTGACAAAAGTTTAGGGTGATACTACGTTCCTTACAATTTGCTCTCTTACAGTCATCACATGATTTCATGTCTTTATGTTTCGAACAAAAATGACGTCTTGTTTGCTTAGCAGGTTGTCGATTTGAAAGTTCCTCAGTTGGGTTTCTTGAACTCTTGTCTTGATCTGTTCCAAGAATTTTTATGATTGTGGTTTTTAAATCATTATTAGAGAGCTGTTTCATATATTTTCTTCTTTTCAGATGTTCATTCAAAAGACTTTAACCGAGTAATATCGTGAAATGTTTTTGAGACAAAGAACATTGACTATTTGCGCTTTTATAAAGAACATATGCATTTTTTCTTGTTATATGTTAAATTACATAAAATACAGCCAGGGGCTATCTTTTTTATTATAAGTTTTTTACCTGCCATTTTAAATTGCATTTACTACAGTTTCTAGTAGAATGGTTGTGAATTTAAGATTTTTTTAGTAGCAATGGTACTTGTTTCTTTTTAAAGTATTTACAGTTCTAGCAGTAATACCAGTTTCTTTTGAAATTAGAACGTGCTGTTACAAGGAAAATTAATTTCAGTTAGACTACTTACGGCAGTTTTAGGCTGTTCCTGTTCTTCATTAATTGCACGAGCTGGTTAATTTTCAAATTTAAAAATAATGTTGTGAATTGCAGATTTTGATGGTACAGGGCCTTCGAATGAAAACGAAAACGTAGCGGTTACATCGTTGGCCCTACTTCCAGAATAATATCATTTAATAATTTGCATTTTATGTTCAGTTGTAAAGGTTACCATTTTCCTAACTGGAAATATCAATTACTTTATTTTTTTGCGAATAAAACCAGAATTAGTATTTATTTATTTATTAACGGGATGTTTCCATTTTTTACAAAACAATTAACAACATAAAATATCCTAACCATAACATAAATACTAAACCTAAATATTAAATAATTATTAAATATTGTTAAACAATTATTAAATTACATAAATTAAATTTTTATAAAACCAATTTTAAAATGAAATTAATATCCCCAAGTTTTTTTAGGCTTAATTAAACGAAAAATAAAACTCGACGATAAAGATATAAACAAACAAATCACGACAGATGACTCGACTACACGTCACATTAATACCAGTCGGGTGTCACTAGCGTTCGGTCTGTTTTCAATATGGCGATATGGCCTGCGCTAAATGATGCGCGTACTTTTTCCCGCCTATCGAGTGTCCATACTATTTCTTTTTTATACTATGTATTGAGTCTTATGGGAATATTTTGTTAAACTTAAATATTTTATTTTGTAGTATTAATATCCGGATACAATTTTTAGAATTACTTAGTTATTTATTTATAGTGACATTTATAGTTAAAAAAATTTTTTTTTGTCGTTAATAAAGATTTATTGCGAAAGTGAGGTTATATATACATTATCAACATCAACATTGGAAAGTGGAGAATATTTATATTATCAGAGTAAGTGCTTGTTTATTTTCTGTTTATATTAATACATTGATTTTGCTCATATTTAATTTATAAATAATTTTTTTAAATTTTGATTACAGACAACTTAATTTAAAATGGATCAATGTATTACCACTGGATTTGCCAAAATTAACAGTTCCATTGTATTTGAGCCACAAAAACTGGTAAAAGGTAGACAGTTGTGTGAATCAGGACACATAACAAATGTTGTTGAGATACGATCAAATGGGATCAGTACAGAAATAATGGCAAAGTGCATGAGACAAACTTCTGTTTTTGGGGCACCCTATTGTGTGCAACTTATGGTATGTTTTCACTTACAATATTTTTAAGTGTAAAAATTAATAATAAAAATCATTTTACAGCTAGATCTTAATAGAAATGTCTCAAAAGGGATATGTACATGTGTATCTAACAAAAGTGGGAAATGTAAACACATTGCCGGGTTAGTGCACTTTGTTAATAAGGATACAAGTACTACAAGGACAGACCGTGAGCAACAGTGGGGTAAACCAGGTGACAAAACGATGGCCAAAGAAAAATATTCTAAGGTACCAAGTTTTCAAGAGATGTTTCCTTCTCGAAGAGAAAAATGTCAATGGAAAAGTATGCCTCCAACATTAGACGAATTAAAAAATCCTTCTCACTTAAAAACAATATTGGAAATGAAAAACAAAAATAAGGAGGACTTAGCAGTAGAATTATATTTAAATGAAGTTGTTGAAAATAGTGGATTAAACCTTCTAAAAGAAGAATCCAAAGTATGTGTGGAAAACTTTTTTTTATTTTTAGAAAATAATGTGATCTACAGTCAGAGTGAGTTCGAAATTGATGCTGAATTGTATCATTTTTATAATAGTCAGATTGTTTTAACCAAGGACCAAATTGTAGAAATATGCTGCAGTACCATCAAACAAAGTGAATCACCACAATGGTATCAAATCAGAAAATGTAGGATTTCAGCTAGTGCAGGAGTGCATGCAATTTCTCATAGAAGAACAAAGAGTGTACATGCATTAGTTGAAGAAATGATAATAAATAAAAAATTTGAAAATGATGCAATGAGGCATGGAAAGCAATATGAAGAAACTGCTAGGAATTTATACATGGAGATGTATAAAAATGAAGTCAAAAAAGTTGGAGTTATTGTTTCTCCATCTCAACCATGGCTATGTGGAAGTCTAGATGGCGTGGTTGTAGAAGATGGGTGTATAACTAAATTAGTTGAAATCAAATGCCCAAAAAAGTGTAAAAACATAAGTATAGTAGATTTTAATACTAAAACTAGTCATGTTAATTATTTGTTTTTTGATGAAGAT